AAGTTTAATGACTGGGATGTGTTGTAAACACATTCATAAATATTTAGCCAGTATTTCTAGATCCCGCTCAGTTCCATAAACTTTTATGGCGAAAGTCAATCTTGAAGATTACGATCAATGGGACAAGATAGTAATAATTCAAAGAGTGATTGATATGTTTGCATGATGGTCAACTTATAGAAAAATAACCTTGTTTTTTAATATCCCATGGAACATGGATAAATAAATACATAGTCCACCATATTATAAGCGGAATCTGTGGCCCATAAAACATCATACTCTACTACTGCTACATCTAGCCTCAATTAGGAATCAAAATACAGTTGCGTTGTCACTCCCTAGGACTAAGATGGAACATCTCATTCCAGTAAAAAGAGTCTCCGGTTCCTAGATTGACCATAAAAGCACAGCAGCATTAAGCTGTTATTTTACTCTCGTATTGTGTGAGAGCGTGGTACTTTCAAAGTTGAGCCGACTTATTCATGATACAGCCATATTATAGCTGCAGTATGACTCTACAACTTATAAACGGATGCGTTACTGAATTTGCTATGGAACCACCAAACGTCTAAGTGGCTATATATTTTTAGACTATCGCTTGTAACTCTTTATATTGATACCATGTTTTGCTGTGTAAGAAAATCCTTCGTTATATTTCGTTCCATGTGTATCGTGAGAGGCGATTTTAAGAGACTAAAAAAATAAAAAATAAAAAAATATCTGAAAAAAATCGTCTCGTTTACGTGAGGCGTAAAATACCAAGGTTGGAGACGGGAAGCATCGGCAAAAGAGTAAAACCACTGCGATCGTGATCCACACGCCAAAAATGGCAATTAAAGCAAATTCTCCAAAAATACGAAAGATTATGCGCACCTCACATTCGTGTCGGGTAGAGAAAGAAGGCCAGTAAGATAGACAGATTATAAATTGTAACTATTTACTTCGACCTTGTGTAATTAATGCCCAATAATAGAACATCACAAACATAGAAGCAATTAAATGTTTAAAGATACTTAATAACGATTCTGCGACAGATGATCAGCGACCATTGAATATGCATTTAGGTACAAATTAACCTAAACATATGCAAAACTACTCATAAATACCACATTAAATTGTCCTGCGGCGGTTTGCAAATAAGTATTCAATACAAATCGTTATAGCTTGAAGTATCAATGATCATTCATTTGTGCATCATAAATTATTTAATAATGAAGCGCATCTGTTATTATTGTAATTGAGAAGCCTTTGTTGAAATTTACTTAAAAGAGGGTTTCGGTAAATTGATGTCTATAATTAAATGACCGGGTAACAATCCCGAGTCATACATGAGGGTTTTTGAAACTGTGCTAGGTGCGTTCAGATATACCCAAATCTATAACTGACATCGTGGTTCCGTGAAATGATTTTCTCATTCAATTATTCAAAAACAAGAACTAAAAAGATTTCTGGAGTTATATTTTTATCAGTTGAATTTTTCTAACTACCATCTTTATTTCTGATCAGTATCAATACTTGCATCGCAAGTACATTAGTAAACATATTTCATTTAAAAGTAGTCTGTTGATAGTCTTCATAGCTGCGGCGTCACAGTCTTCGCGAAATTTGACATTTGCTATCATACTCCATACTTTCATTTTAATTGTATTTCCGCGGGAGTTCTTTCGTGTAACAGATTCAAGTTAAATCCTAAGACTAATTATTAAGTATTTTTTGAAATAATTTCGTATAAAAGTTAAAAAGTTAAAGCTACAGTCTGTATACGGTCCCACTGCTGGGTACAGGCCTCCCCTCATTTCTGAGAGGGTTTTAGGGCAAGGAAGTGTCCGCCGCGCTACCCCAATAAGTGTTGGCGAACTTCACATGTCTTCGAAATATGTTTTTATTTCTTAGACATGCAGGTTTCCTCACGATGTTTTCCTTCACCGCCGAGCACGTGATAAATCAGTACTTAAAATTGCAATTTACAATATAATTGGTGCCGGCGGGGATCGAACCCGGGTTGCTTGCGTAATGTGACTTTACAGCGAGCGCTAACCATCTGAGATACCACGGCTCTAATTTCGAATAGTATAGATATTTACAGATTATTATAAATTGCGAAAAAGATCCTGAGTTACAATGCTATAACTCTGCCAGAAATCCTAGTTGCCTTCGTAGTGTCGTTGTCATTTGGGTTAGTCGCGTAAATGAGTAAGTATCGACTATAAGCTGATATCTTTTTTATTATCATTATCATCATCATCATCATCGCCGCCATCATTGCAACCTATCAGTAGTCTACTTCTGAACAGAGGTGTCCTTCATAGATTGTTTCATAGGAACAAACAGGGGATCCCAAAACTCGACGTCAATTCGGAACCGGGTGAAAAGGCAAATTACGCTGGTTGTCATAAAAAGTTAAAAAATCTAAGTTGCATGTTTTCAAAATTATAGGCATTTAAAATAACGGAAAAATTTCACATCATGTGATAGTCTTTTCACTCCTGTTGCCACAAATCTTTACTTTTTCCAACTATTTTTTTTTTGTTACTTATTATGAAACCCCGAATAACGCTTCTGTAAACTGGTATCAAAACTTTAAAACCAGTTGCTCTAGATTGCATAAAAATAGGACTTATTTTCTAAAAAATAATCCCAAAGTTGTCACACTTAGTAGACGCGTGGGTGTTATCATGCAGATGCTGTTGCCCTTCTCATGTTTTAGATTCTCTCTTTGGCTTCTTCGACACCCACGGAATGATACGACGGAGGGTAATAGGTATATTTTATAAAATATTAGTTTTGATTACTCGATGCTATAAAAATAAAAATTTACGTAGTTTCGGTGTGATTCCTACAGGCAATAATCTCTTCTAAAGTTACACAATCACACTGCAGTCACTCATCACTCTATCAGGGGCGTCGCTCGACACTTGCCAATACGAGGCTGCCTCGAAAATTGTAAATTTGATATCATGTTAATTATTCTTCTATGATGTCCACAAAGTATTAACTACCCATTATCAAGTGTACTCAAGTGTACAAGAACGAAGTGTTTATAAAGTGTACGAGAACGATCTAAACGACACTGCATAGCAAGGTTGATCAACATTACTTCAGTTTACTAAAACGATGAACTCTCGACACTGGATACAGAAAAGTGTTTGTCCGAACATTTGATTTTGACTAAGTGTTTGTGCAAATGTTGGGTCAAGTGTTTATGCAACTCACAATCATTGCGAATTTGAAAACAACAAGCCAAAAATAAACAAGGACGTTTATTTTCAAGTAAATGATTCCATAATTTAGTAAGCACTTCGAGCTTTTGACGCGAACGGCCAAGAGACTGTCATTTACTAAGTTGTGGTAATGGTCAAATGTAATTACATTAAGGCAAGAAAGGCTTAAAAACATGGAAAAAACTAACATTATACATTTAATTATTATTTTACATTATGACCTTTTACAAAAGTTTAATATAAATCGTACACTCTTTAAAATTTTTTTGGGATGACAATAGGACAGTGTAGGTATAACATAATATATGTACATGCTTTTTGTTAAGGGGATATAGTAAGTCAGCTCAAATTCTAATTTCGCCTCCACTTCCCCGCGCGTCGTATGCTATGTACCGACATGTTTGTAATCACTAATACTGTAAATAGATAGGTCGTTAGATACTTATTTCAATAGGTTTATCATATTTATGCCTGTTTCTTTACGCTAACCCAGTCGCTTCTTATTTTTATTACGGTTATTTCCCATTTTAATTTTACGTCGTCCTGTTGCGTAATTTGTATTCTAATCGTAAGCGACACAACTTCTCCCTTCAAAAGCCAGAGCGCAATTATACTAACGGGGCGACAGGAGGGTCAAGCTTACGCGCCTATAGTTTAGGTAATTTCTTTTTACAGTGAAAATAATGGTATTTTAAAAAAAGTAAATAACATAAGCACTGCTTTATAGTTAGTTCAGTTAGTGTGCAAAGTTTCATGATCATATTTAAAGTATTTTATGAATAACAGCGGTATATTGTTCAGTTTGGAGGTAATTTTGGATTTTTTTTCTATCGAGAAAATTTTACGGAATCGTGTTTTCGTCTAACATAGTCCTTAACATTAATCCTCAACTTTACCATATATTTATTTCAAAATTAATGCTGCAATGTTTTCGGCATAACGGAGGATCTTGCTAAGCCATTTGAGGTTATATTTCCCCTTAAGGCGTTATTATAAAAAGCGGTAAAAAAATTTTATAAAATAGATAAGGATGATAAAAGAGCACACGGTTCACCCGATGGTAATTGGATTCTTTGACTCATAATCATCTATATCTATCCTCGACAAAAAATCAAAATGCAGAAAGCGTCACTCCTTTTTTTTTTTTTGCGGATGGAAATCATCTATCCCCTTCGCTCTGGGTGTGAAGGGAGGTCGACTTTTTGACTAGTATGGGGCGTCACTCCAAGGACTAAAATAGAATGCCTCGTTTCCAGTACGAGCCGACCCATTCTTGCTACAACCATAATAAAGCTGCAGCGTGGCTCCACCACATATAAAATTAAAATGCATAATATGGCAATAATAATGTATATTTTGATAATGCTACTTCGTTCTCCATGATTATACGATAGATTTGCGGTTGCCATTACATTCTATTAAAACTCCACTTCTGAACATAGGCCTCCCCCATAGATCCATATTAACTATACGTCATATAGTTGTTACGCCTGAACGACGGATTATCAACAGCAGGTTACCTGCTATCAAGAAAAATACTGCTGCCCATATCATGTTTTTCGCTTCCTTTTATTCCAAGCGACGATATGGGTAATTGGGTAATCTTACGCCGCCATCACACGGCAAAATATGTGGCAAGGAAATTATGGTTATTCATTTTATAATTCCATTATAATAATGAAGTGTTTGACTCAAAATTGGTTAAGCTTGAAGATTTTTAATAGCATTTTTTTTAGATACGATGCAAAATTTTAAAGTCTTTAAAAGTCCTTAAAAGTTTTAACGTTTACTCTGTATTATAAGTTTAACGTTAGAACCACTTTATAAAGTAGTAACACACTCATCTATAATTTGAAGTCAACATTCAGTTAATAAAAATCCTGTGAAGAATAAGTGTTAAAATGAATGAAACAATGAAAAATGTTATCGAATCTACAAACGCTACGTAGCAGGTTTGACCTAAGCTTCATGCGAAACCGGACGACCGCTAATAAAATACAAATGCATTACAAAGAAAATAAAAATATCATAGTTCTTACTACACACGTTGAAACAGGTATATTATCTCCGAATGACTGCGTCTGTAACCCGATTTTGTACTACATAATGCAGTAAGAAGTGTAAGAGATAAAGAATTGTATGGAGAACTATACGTATCGTTTATACTAACGTTATACTTAACCCATTAGAGACAATTCTGAGTTTAAGCTCAAACTACACACACTAGAATAGACCGGTATACAAAGAGACTCTTGAGACTCCACAATGTCAAAATTTGAGTCTAGACTCTAGACCATACTATGTATGCTTGGACAATTGTTCATACTGTGCTTCTGAAATTTTTGATATTGTGGAGTTTCAGTTTGTCAAGATCGTATCTTATTCATAGAGATTTTTAGAATGGCTTGGATTCAGATTTAGAAATTGTAGTTTAAGTTGGAGACTGTTTTTGAATTCAGACTTCATTGATTGTTAATATGTGTCGGGTGTGTGTGTGTGTGTGTGTGTGTGTGGTTGCCACTCACCAGTAAGGAGAGGTTGTTCTTGGGAAGCATGGTGACGTCACCGGGACGCACGCCGGGCCCACAGTAGCGAAGCGCGGGCTCGTGCAGCGCCCGCAGCGCCGCCTGCAGGCGCGCGCGTGCCTCCCCCGCGCCGCCCGCACCCCGCGCCGCCGCCGCCACCACCGCCTCCACCTCCCGCTCCCATTTACTGACACCGGGGGAACACCGGTATTCACTGTGATAGGACATTTTATAAATAAGAGTGACAAACGACACGCAGTCCATCAGATGGCACGTGTAACAAACAAGCACATAGTCCATCTGATGGTAAGTGGTGGTAAGTGGATGCTGTTGTCCTCTGGGGTAACAGGGATTTTGCATTTTGATTCTCAAACGAAGATATACGTAGGTGTCTATAATTCTTAATATTTTTTTAAAGATTAAGGATTACAAGCAAGCACACAGTCCACCTGGATGGTAAGTGGACACAGTGGCTCATTATTCCCGTACGATACAAAACACAGCAGCATTATACTGTTTTACTCCGGTATTCTGTGAAAGCGTGATCCCATCCGGGTAGAGCCGACCCATACCTGCTGCAGCTATACTTAATATAGCTATTACGAGAGTATACTAAGTTGGCATTAACAAAGTAATGTGGCTGTTTTTTCATAGAAAAGAAGATGACAAACGAGCACACAATCCACTCGATGGTAAGTGAAAGTTGTAGCCCATAGACATCTACACTCATCCTCAATTTAGCATCAAAATATTACTCTAATTTTCGTCAAGCTCTTGGAGCTACAACCGATATATGTAATAAGCACATAATTATATATGAATAATTTATGTAACATCATCTTCGTATTAGCCGACAAGGAGAAACTGTAAAGGAGATAGGGAGCAACAAATTAAAATTATAAAAAACTGCGGTTACCAAAGCGTGGCATCAATGACCAAATCTCCCCCTATGAGGCAGTGTATGGAGAAGAACGATATTCAGCAGGGATCTGTTATAAGCTATAATGGATGGGGGGATGATGGAAGGACATCATGATGGATGGATGACAGGATGATTTTTTTATACTGCCGCAGGCAGACATTTTTAACTTAAGTAAATACTAAAATATATTTACCTGCACCCTCCCAAACATGATCTAATATCATCCTTCAAGCTCCTAGACAGTGTGCAACTCGGACTCCCGTCAGAGTCGGACGTGGTATGAGATCCTTCATTCTTTTCGCAGTCGGATAGCCGTCGTGTCGGCTCCGGCTCGTAGGTTTCGATCTTTGGTAATGTTGGCGATACGCGGCCATGGCTGCCACCGCCGCTGCCGTAGCCTGTTTGATCATATACATAAATTATTGTCGCAACTTTTAAAAAGACTGTAAATTGAAGAATCTGTGCATGCTTGAGTATACCTATGCTTTAGGTAGTTTTGAAAAAAAAAGTGATATTCATTCTGTAAATTACCAGCAACATACACTAGCAAGTAGTACCAGTGGACTCCATAGAGTAGAGTATAAGTAATCTATTCTTGGGGGCGATGGCGCTTAAACAACAAAATCCCAGAAAATATACAAAATTTGTCCTCCGCTTAGTTCAAAAACCTTAATAACAAGGAATCTATAAAAGGGATCATTATAATGTTAAGTGTTTTTTTGATTTTTTTTTTTGCATTGGGTTTTGTTGTTCGACACATCGAAAAAGTGGCTCCGGGCTATCGCCATACTGATCCGAGTAAATACATAATTTCTATAACAACTTTAAAAACGCCATCATAAGGTCTAAAATTGCGTAGCGCCAGCGACGATTAAGACCGCTTAGAAATTGTCAGAATCTTAAAATATTTTTTTTTAAATTATTGATTTAAGTGCAATCAAAATAATGAGCAAGTAAATTATGAATATAGTAGATGTTATGAACCTATAATAGATGTTATAAATATATTTGAATGATTCCCAAGCATATAGATTAAGTAATTTCGTTGTAATTTCAACTATAGCGAATTTAAGAGGTGTTTTCGAAAATAATTATGATCGAGTCAAAATTATACAATCATGTTTTTGAACAAGCATATTCTAGATAAAGACATGAATTTACCTATATCAAAATTCCACATTCGTTAGTGGTGTCATAGTCTAATAATATTCGATGAAAGGAGGTGCATTTTTTCGCGGAACTCAAGAACCTTATGGATGATAATATCCTTTGCGAACTGTGATCGCTACCAAGCTGTTTCGAATTTGTTCTATGTTGTTAATTGTGAAACATAATTAATGATTGTAAATTATTCTTTATTCAAAAAAATGTCCTTCTGGGTTTAGTGCTGACTCTTCCCAGGACAGAGGTATTTTCAGAACCAATGGTAAATTAAACATGGGGCGATTGACAGTCAATAAGTATTATTTATAACATACATTAAATTAATAAAAAGCTTTCTATCTGTATTTATTTTTCATCATCGTCGATGTTGATTAATAATTCGAAAATATCTATGTCTATTTTTTTAAACATATATTCAGTTTTGCAAATATCCAGTACTTACAATAAAATAGATATTCAACCATTAAAAACAAAGAAGATTTAGAGCTTGCTTTTAAAAATGAAGAAATTACATATCGAGGTTTTAATAAAAAATTATCATTTCCAGATCTTAAAATTTAATTAACAAACTTTAAATCAAAATCATTAAATACTTGGAATAATAGCAGCTTAATAATATAAATATGAGATTCCGAGGAAATCTGTAAACGCTGGCAGCTTAAGGCCGTGCTTTGCGGCAATCTTTAGGAAAAGCCAGTGTTCAGCCGTGGACTGGTGATGGATATTAATTATGATCACAAACAACAGGAGTTGTATGCGTCGTTACCTTTGCACAATCGCACTAGTAAATAGCCTAAACGAATTCCCCCGACATATTATTGGTCTTAGAAGGCAATGTTTTATAATATAAACTGAAATATAAGCTCTGCTGATGGTAAAAAAATTTGAAATAACATAAGTGAGTAAAAATTTTTATCGCACAAAACCAAGTTTACATTGTTAAGTACATTTCAAACTAAAGCAAGAGGCATTTAACTAATATCTAAAATTTTAAACACTACGCTTTTTATAGGACTATATAGGGCTGAGCCTATTTATAGCTTCTAGCGCCTACATTACTAGAAGCTATAAATAGAAATGGTAAGTAATATTAACTAATTATAAAAACAACTAGTCTGTTTACTGTAGCACTCCTTTATTTTATTTAGCATGTAATAATATATAATGGAAGATTACAATACATCATCACAAGTTACGATTTTTTTTATTTACAAATTATATGGAGGAAGACAATGAGAAAGAAGATTCTTTCTTTTTCTTTTTTTACAAATTACATGAAGGAAAACAATGAGAAAGAAGATTCTTTCTTTTTCTTTTTTTACAAATTATATGAAGGAAAACAATGAGAAAGAAGATTCTTTCTTTTCCTTTTTTTAACGTTACCTACACACTAGGATTTTCTCCTATATCGTGGGGGCAGTTTACAAACATAAATTTTACAAGAACAAACATCCAGATCCGGAACAATTAGTTGTAAGACATACAGATAATTCTTCCGTGCGGGATTTGAACCCGCGGCCCTTAGAGCTGTAACTCATTGCTTTTTTGATATTGTGTTGATGCTGTTGTGTTGTTAATATACCCTTCAACTTTAATAGAATTCTTACTTAGACTTAAAATGAATGTGAACATCCAGGCCGTCGCGACTTCAGAATGAGGTAAAATATTGAGTAGATTTCATGACTGGGAAATTAAATTTTAGAAAAGTGTAGAGATTAACGTTTGTTACTGAAATGATAGTTATATTTTATATTAATTATTAGATTATAAATGCATTAACAAAAAGTACAGACTATATTCCTAAGGGTATTTATAAGTATCAAAAGAGAGTTAAAATGTGCCATAAATTAAAGATAACAACACTGAGACATAGTTCTGTGTAATACTCGTAACATCCAGCAGAAACCGAAAAACTATTATTTAAAACAATCAACTTCGAATAACTTCACCTCAATCACAACTACCGACTAGACATGTGTGAATCATGAATGATTCATTCGTTTGAGCTGGTACACTTAAAAGTATTGACAGTCCATTCATCTGATTTTGAATGTTCCGGTACATCCAATCACAAACAATTGACGGAACATTTTTAACTCGTGATTGGTGTGAATTGTGAATGAGTAGAAAACCGGCCGAATCCCGAATAATCTGAATGAATTGAAAGAAAATTTTCGGTTCCCAATGAATATCACAGACATACAGAGTACTGGTGCCCGAAATGATCTATTTGAATGATCGATCCGAATGTACCGGTACGCGTGACAAAATGTACTAAGTGATTGACATATGTCTACTAGCGACATCTGGTGAACAAAAGATTATTAGCCCTCATTTATAATACCTGAAGAAGTGGAAGGGGCGCGACGTGGAACACGAGGAGCATCGGGGACCTCGGGCGCCTCTAGCGAATCCACAATTATCACTACCTCTTGCTCCTCTTCCTCCGTATATATTGGATTAGACCTGCAAACAACAAAAACGCAAATAATGTGACATTAAACTTACTAACACCCAGTTTAAGTATACTAAAATGGTTGTATTTACCTAAATTTTGAATGAATCTTTTTACGTGGTAGAGCCATGCTGGAGTTATATTAGTAGTATAGTTGTAGCACTAATGGGTCGGCTCAACCGGGGAAGGACCATTAACGTCAAATAGTAGCTTAATGCTGCTGTGTTTCGTATTGTGAATGTAGAGAACCGGAGACCCTGCTGGAAACGATGCATTTCATCTTAGGTATCACGGGTGACAACGTATTTGCATTTTGATTTGTAATCCAGGATAGATGTAGATGTCTATGGGCCACAGCAACCACTTACCATCAGGTGGACTATGTGTTCGTTTATCACCCTATTCTATAAAAAAAATAAAAATAAAAAATAAGCATATTTAAGAAGACTTTTTTGAAAAATACCACATCACATATGTATTAACCTTAGAGCATTTATAACTTATTTATTTCTCTCTTAACTATCTAACTATAATTATTGTGTACTAACTCTAGCCTAACCTAATTCTCTATTCACTTCACAGACTACTCCCCTCCTATAACTAGATGTTTGTTTTGCATAGTGTTGTCCATAACTCGTGTATTTAGTTGTGTTTTGTTTTTAGCCACTTTGTCAATAACCGCCAACTCCTTCCCCACCAAGAAGCCTCAAGATAAGGTGTGACAGACCAAAGACCTGACATTGGCAGAATTATTGTGACATAACCACAACACAAGGGCCATATTGATTGAAAAAAATTGCTTGTTCGTACTCTAAGATTATTAACACTGTTAACATTAGACCGTTAACCATTCTAAGTAAGCTATGCTTGTAATAAGTGCAGTTCACCATAGCAGTCGAATGGCGGTTTCGATCCCACGACGACACACGAATAATAACATTTTCATACCCTACAATTATACATTACCTAGTAAATAATGTTAGTCAGATTCACTATTGGATGATTGGGTGATAACAAATAAATATCAATTACGTCCATAATTATGTAATTTTGTATTTACGAAAAGTAATTTTGAATCTATTGTTGCTTCGAAAATATTTTTCAAGTAGTAATATTCATACTTATTACTAACTTAACTCTTACCTTATTTGTTTTAATTTAAATTATATTTTGTAATCTTTTACAGGCATAAAACATTGTAAGGTATTACTATTTCTTATATTTACGCAAACACTACATTAAATAAAACTATTTTTACGGATTTTATCGCGTTTAATTTAAATTTTTAATTCTCGACGTTTCGGGTGCTTTGCAGCTCCCATGGTCACGAGGGGACTGAGGTTTGAAGTTCCGATGTCACAGTTAGCCTGTTAGTCAGTTTTTGGTATTAATTTTTTCGATCTACGTAGAATGAGCTAACAGTATCTAGAAGTTTTGGAGTAGTATGCTTGGGTCTTTTGTGGTCTTCACCACGAGTGACCACAATGAATTTGTGGTCTCGACTTCGTATGAATATTTTAATCAAAATAAGTCTCAAAATTTACACAATATTCTGATGTGATTATTTATTTTAAAAAAATAATAAAATTGAAGTACTTAATACCTACACTCATAATCTGTACTTACATACTAACTTTTTTTTATTTCGTGGGGAAGGACCCGTTAAAGGAACACGGGCTGCCGACGTACTGGTGTTCTAAGGGAAGGACCACGCTCTCACAGAATATCAGCTTCAAATAGCAATACTAAAGCAACATGGGCCGTTCACGTACCGGTGTTCTAAGGGAAGGACCACGCTCTCACAGAATATCAGCTTCAAATAGCAATAATAAAGCAACACGGGCCGCTGACGTACAGGTGTTATAAGGGAAGGACCACGCTCTCACAGAATATCAGCTTCAAATAGCTATACTAAAGCAACACGGGCCGCTGACGTACCGGTGTTCTAAGGGAAGGACCACGCTCTTACAGAATATCAGCTTCAAATAGCAATACTAAAGCAACATGGACCGTTCACGTACCGGTGTTCTAAGGGAAGAACCACGCTCTCACAGAATATCACCTTCAAATAGCAAAACTAAAGCAACACGGGCCGCTGACGTACCGGTGTTCTAAGAGAAGGACCACGCTCTCACAGAATATCAGCTTCAAATAGCAATACTAAAGCAACATGGACCGTTCACGTACCGGTGTTCTAAGAGAAGAACCACGCTCTCACAGAATATCAGCTTCAAATAGCAATACTAAAGCAACACGGGCCGCTGACGTACCGGTGTTCTAAGAGAAGTACCACGCTCTCACAGAATATAGGCTTCAAATAGCAATACTAAAGCAACATGGACCGTTCACGTACCGGTGTTCTAAGGGAAGAACCACGCTCTCATAGAATATCAGCTTCAAATAGCAATACTAAAGCAACACGGGCCGCTGACGTACCGGTGTTCTAAGCGAAGTACCATGCTCTCACAGAATATCAGCTTCAAATAGCAATACTAAAGCAACATGGACCGTTCACGTACCGGTGTTCTAAGGGAAGAACCACGCTCTCACAGAATATCGCTTCAAATAGCAATACTAAAGCAACACGGGCCGCTGATGTACCTGTGTTCTAAGGGAAGTACCACGCTCTCACAGAATATAGGCTTCAAATAGCAATACTAAAGCAACATGGACCGTTCACGTACCGGTGTTCTAAGGGAAGGACCACGCTCTCACAGAATATCAGCTTCAAATAGCAATACTAAAGCAACACGGGCCGCTGACGTACCGGTGTTCTAAGGGAAGGACCACGCTCTCACAGAATATCAGCTTCAAATAGCAATACTAAAGCAACACGGACCGTACACGTACCGGTGTTCTAAGGGAAGGACCACGCTCTCACAGAATATCAGCTTCAAATAGCAATACTAAAGCAACACGGACCGTTCACGTACCGGTGTTCTAAGGGAAGGACCACGCTCTCACAGAATATCAGCTTCAAATAGCAGTACTAAAGCAACACGGGCCGTTGACGTACCAGTGTTCTAAGGGAAGGACACGCTCTCACAAAATATCAGCTTCAAACAGCAATACTAAAGCAACACGGACCGTTCACGTACCGGTGTTCTAAGGGAAGGACTACGCTCTCACAGAATATCAGCTTCAAATAGCAATACTAAAGCAACACGGGCCGTTGACGTTCCGGTGTTCTAAGGGAAGGACCACGCTCTCACAGAATATCAGCTTCAAATAGCAATACTAAAGCAACACGGGTCGCTGACGTACCTGTGTTCTAAGGGAAGGACCACGCTCTCACAGCATATCAGATTCAAATAGCAATACTAAAGCAACACGGACCGTTCACGTACCGGTGTTCTAAGGGAAGGACCACGCTCTCACAGAATATCAGTTTCAAATAGCAATACTAAAGCAGCACGGACCATTTACGTACCCGTGTTCTAAGGGAAGGACCACGCTCTCACACAAAATCAGCTTCAAATAGCAATACTAAAGCAACACGGACCGTTCACGTACCGTTGTTCTAAGGGAAGGACCACGCTCTCACAGAATATCAGCTTCAAATAGCAATACTAAAGCAACACGGACCGTTCACGTATCGGTGTTCTAAGGGAAGGACCACGCTCTCACAGAAAATCAGCTTCAAATAGCAATACTAAAGCAGCACGGACCGTTCACGTACCGTTGTTCTAAGGGAAGGACCACGCTCTCACAGAATATCAGCTTCAAATAGCAATACTAAAGCAACACGGACCGTTCACGTATCGGTGTTCTAAGGGAAGGACTACGCTCTCACAGAAAATCAGCTTCAAATAGCAATACTAAAGCAACACGGACCGTTCACGTACCGTTGTTCTAAGGGAAGGACCACGCTCTCACAGAATATCAGCTTCAAATAGCAATACTAAAGCAACACGGACCGTTCACGTATCGGTGTTCTAAGGGAAGGACCACGCTCTCACAGAATATCAGCTTCAAATAGCAATACTAAAGCAACACGGACCGTTCACGTACCGGTGTTCTAAGTGAAGGACTACGCTCTCACAGAATATCAGTTTCAAATAGCAATACTAAAGCAACACGGACCGTTCACGTACCGGTGTTCTAAGGGAAGGACTACGCTCTCACAGAATATCAGTTTCAAATAGCAATACTAAAGCAGCACGGACCATTTACGTACCGTTGTTCTAAGGGAAGGACCACGCTCTCACAGAAAATCAGCTTCAAATAGCAATACTAAAGCAACACGGACCGTTCACGTATCGGTGTTCTAAGGGAAGGACCATGCTCTCACAGAATATCAGCTTCAAATAGCAATACTAAAGCAACAGGGACCGTTCACGTATCGGTGTTCTAAGGGAAGGACCACGCTCTCACAGAATATTAGCTTCAAATAGCAATACTAAAGCAACACGGACCGTTCACGTACCGGTGTTCTAAGGGAAGGACTACGCTCTCACAGAATATCAGTTTCAAATAGCAATACTAAAGCAGCACGGACCATTTACGTACCGTTGTTCTAAGGGAAGGACCACGCTCTCACAGAAAATCAGCTTCAAATAGCAATACTAAAGCAACACGGATCGTTCACGTATCGGTGTTCTAAGGGAAGGACCACGCTCTCACAGAATATCAGCTTCAAATAGCAATACTAAAGCAACACGGACCGTTCACGTATCGGTGTTCTAAGGGAAGGACCACGCTCTCACAGAATATCAGCTTCAAATAGCAATAGTAAAGCAACACGGGCCGCTGACGTACCGGTGTTCTAAGGAAAGGACTACGCTCTCACAGAATATCAGTTTCAAATAGCAATACTAAAGCAACACGGACCGTTCACGTATCGGTGTTCTAAGGGAAGGACCACGCTCTCACAGAATATCAGCTTCAAATAGCAATACTAAAGCAACACGGACCGTTCACGTACCGGTGTTCTAAGGGAAGGACTACGCTCTCACAGAATATCAGCTTCAAATAGCAATACTAAAGCAGCACGGGCCGTTTACGTACCGTT